ATACTGTTTATGCTCTTTTGTGACATTTCTATGTGCAAAGTTTCTAATAGTAAAAAAATTAGATATTTTATGAAAAAGATGTAATATATAATTTTGTAATCTCAAAAAGATAATATATCTCGTCAAAAAACTATGTAATCAGCCAAAATAATTTACAGAATTTTAAATAAAATACAATTAGCATTTAGTTTTATAACATTAGTTTATCTAAAAACAAGTATTGACTTACACTTTGAATTTTGAAAAATAATGATAAAAAAAATAATAAATAAATAATGAAATGTAAACGTTAATTACGAATTAAAACGCTTAAGTCGTGCCGACGGATGATTACGTAGTTCAGGTGGCTACTTCTCAAACTAAATCCGTACCTCGATTAGTATGAGAGATCGAAGGGACGGAGGGATGATAAGTACTCACCCTTGAGGGGTAGTAGGTGTGGCTAACGGTCGAGTAAATGAAGGGTCACATTACGAGTTAATGTTCAGCTGTTACATGTAATTCGCTTAATTGTCCGACCGGAGGGATGCAAAACTATGCGACAGTTGTGCCGCTCTCTCGGTGTTTAACCCGGAAATACCCTTATGCGCTTAGTCTACGGTACCGACAATTTCAATTACGCGACATAACTTTACATATTGCGCGCATGCTCAAAGTTGTATATTCAGAAATACTTTGTACTGATCTAAAGTAAATGCTACGTTGATCCGTAAACTATGTTAAAACCTTAAACTGTTGTATGTGTATCTTTTATATAATTACCGATTATATACTGATATTGATATATAATTTGTAATGCAAGCATTTAAACTTCTCCGTATACTTCACGTTTCATTTTAATTACACATATTTGTTATTTAATTATAAAATGTATATAACTGCAGAATTTTTTGCTATTACGTAAAATAAAAGTTAATATGAAAATTTTAAGATATATAATATATGTATGTAAAAGAAATATATGTATAAAAATTTCACGATTTTATGAATTACATTATTTTCAACAGCTGAGTTCCATAGGTTTCACTTTGTAAGATATTTTATAACGAACATTATGTCCCGTGTCCCTTTATCAGATTGCACATTTACAATGGCAAATTAGATAAGCGAGTGTCTCAATTAAATTCCAAAGCAAGAGGTTAAACGTCAATTGCCATTCTGTATTTATACCTTGAACCGCAACTCGCGGTGTCTCGCGCCTCATAAAAACCGCTTTGTTTCAGAGAAAAGCGGACTTTATTTCGCTCCGCGTAGCCCGCGGCAGCGCTGGATACTTATAAATGTTTTGCGCCCTTTAATGGAGGAGGCGGCAGCAGTGTTGTGTAATTTTCCGTTGCGATAACAAGCCGAGTACAAACATGTAACATTACCGTCCGCGAATCTTATTATGTGTTAAAATCAACCGGCCGAACACAGAAGAGTCCGTTGAGAGCGCGGTGGCGGAGTATCGCGGGGGTGATAAAGGATCTACGCTATCTCGAATCTTCACAAAGTGATCGCCCCGGGACATTGTATTCCCTCCACCTGGAACAAGCGTGCGAAGTGTGCCGTACTGATTACGTTCTCGCAGAGCTGGAATTTTCACTTGCACAATTTACTTATTTCTCTCGGCTCGTATCAAAGCAAGCAGCAGCCATGTAAAACGTTAAAGTAACACTCCGCCGAGTAAACTACCACCAGCCAAATGAAAATAAAGTATCATTAATATTATATTTGCTGTTTATCAGAGCAATACGCGACGCGATTTTATTTTACAGATTCTCATTTACTTCGTATTAATTATGAGCTTATTAATTAATCTTTAGGAGGAGAAATATTATAAGCACGCTCTTATCAGTCTGATCAATATATATTATGTATTCCAGAGAATTCTCAAATTAAATAATTAAATCATTTTTCCATTTATCTTTTTCAAGTAAAAGATGAATGAAAAAGATAAATCAAAATTTAAAAAAATTATTTCATTTAAAATTTCTCAAGAAAACATCAAATAGAAGAATATAAATATTCGCGGCAATAATGAATACATGTAACAAAGAATGTATACTCTCTCTAAATTATTTTTAGACTTTCATTTTAGAGAGAAAAATCTCGAAAAGAAAAACTTTCATTATAAAGTACAATAAGATTTCCCTAATCTACTAAAACGTAGCTAAAATGAATTATCCAATTATAATATCAACAGCAGTAAACAAGAACGTTGGATACAAATTAGCAAGGGGTCGTTCGAATCTTGGGTATCATCTATCGCATGGGTTGACGCGTAAGAAGCGAAGAAAAGCGGAGAACTGGCGGGACAGGAAGCTAAAAAGGGCGGTTAACAGGAGCTTCAAGGCAATAAGCGACTCTACAAGCTTTGGAGGCGACGAAAGATGACCGCACAGGAAAAGCCGCACTGGTCAGCAGAAACAGCTCGCAAAAACACGGCCGGCCAGGCCTCTTCTCTACCCCTCGAAGCGAGCGACCCTTAGGGAGAAAGGTCCCGCCAATCCTCGCGTATTCCTCGATCGTTTCTTCGTCGTTTGACTGCTTCTTTTCGCGCCGATCAATGCCACGCATTAAAGAGATGTGCGAGTTCGTATATCTCGGCATAAGCGACATTAAAATCTTTATTGCGGCTAAATTTATTATTATATTTCATTTTTTTAAAATTGCTCAAACTATATCCATTCATCGCTCGAAATGCTATTGTCGATATACTTTATTACGTATATACTTTATTGCATATAACGATATTAATTTTACTTATATATTATATTTTATTTATTGTGCGTAGCTAATAATAATTAAATAAGGGAGATATGAGAAATACTAGGAAATGTGAAATTTCTAAAATTTCAACCCGCACACAGCGATTACTTTGCGCTTAAAGGTGCGCTCATGCGTGTGCGTGCGTTTGGCTGTTTCGCTTCTTCTTCAAGATACGTGACTGCACCCGGGAGCGCCATCCCCCATGCTCCACACCGAGAACTAACGGAACCCAACCCAACCTCCGCCCTCGCCATTGCATACTTTATTGTGCGCATTATTTAAATGAGCGCAACTTCCCCGTAATCTTGCCACCGAGCAACTCCCACTTTTGGTCCCTGCTGCTCGTTGCCGTTTCGGCCTCTTCCACTTTCTACGTAGATTACCTAACTTTTAAGGGATGCGTAACCTTGAATTTCCTACATTTTCTCTCACCTCAATCATCATGTTATATCATCAAATGAGATTTTCCTTTTAAATAGTACTTCCATTTTTTTCTCGAAGCAGAATAATGTATTATTATGAAAAAAGATAAAAATTTGCTGAAGGCCGCAAGTGCGAAAGCAAAGCTGCGTGTGAAAGCATCTTAAATACACGCCATTTCACCGTGATGAACGGTAGCATTTTCAGAGTACGATGCAAAAAGAGAGAAGGAAAGAGGGAGTGTAGAAAGGGATAAAAAGTCATGGGAGATGCAAGATTACCGGCGAAAAAAAAAGTTTTACTTCGGTTAGTAGGGATTTTCTTTCGAATCCTCATATCCTATCGAAACGGGTCATTCAACGCAATGTCCACGGTTGGAAAACTCGAATGACCTTGGGAATCGCGATCGATCGGTGAAGCTTTCGGGGGTAGAACGCTTAGGCCCACCCTTCTGATCCTCGCGCGATAGCAGCCGTAGTTTGCGACATGGAAACGAGCTATGCAACACGGCAGAGTCGAATGAGATTTATGCGCGGAGGAAAACCGATAAGTCAAACCCTTGTATATGGGATAGCTACGTAACGTCTGGTATCCTGCAAATGTCAATAATAGGTTGGAAATTATGGATGTTTGCCATCCCTATCCACGCCAACGGCATTATCAATTTTTGCCATCTCTACTTTCGTTGGAAAATATCGGTTCTTACAATACGCTTTAATTAAGAAAAATTGATTTCCTCTATTACAAGAGAGGTAATAATGTATCATACACACGTTTGAAAACGTTAATAATAGATTAAAAGCTATAAAAAGAAGCTTATTCGATTTAAAGAGTTATATACAGTTTAATTTTTTTGCTTTTAATAATTTATATTATAAACTATTTTATATCATAACTAATTTTTTTACCTAACTGTAATTTTAAAATTAAAAGAAATTACAAGAATTCATGTAAAAAAGAGAAGAGAGAGAAATTCATTTCTGCTATTATATAATATGATTATATAATATTCTTATTATACATATATATAATAAAAATATATATATCGATAAAACATATTAAAATATTTGTCGTGTCAACATTATTTATGTAATACATTCAATTAAAAACAATAAGCTGGAATTAAAGCAATTGTTTGTGCTACAAAATAATATAATATATAATATTTCTAATAAAATTTATTTTGAATAATAAATGCCTATAAGATGTTTTTTTTTCGTTATGTACTTACCATTATCAACTAAACAAGAACATTCTTTGCCGACTTCGGCTTCCGAAGAGTAAGCGAAGAAATAGCGAGACGGTAGGAAAACAGGGTGAAAGATAAAGTATGGCCTTCCCGCCAATAATATGCCGACAAGCTTTATTTTATTTAAGCAGCCCCAGTTTTTCATTACGTTCATTCTCGCGCCTCCCTCTTCATCATAAGACGCACGCCGCCCTGCAGGGTGAATTGTGCACGCAAAGCGCGGCAGCCCCTATTACTCGAATATATTATTTACTATTCTTATTTTTGTCGGCCCGTACTCTTGTCTCCCCTTTATATAAATTTCTAACACTCTTCAAAGAGAATCGATCGCTACCCTCTAGAGGCCACGGCTTTGTGCATCGCGAAACGCACTTAATGCAGTTCCGTTTATGATAAAAGTTAGATGTTTTTTCTTGAGAGAACAAATTTATTACTAATCCATTGTTTTTAATTCGTTTTAAACAAATCATGTGGCATCGGGTTTATATGAGAATTGAAATGTTATTTATATCTACAATCTACAACTAATTGTAAGATTTATAAATTTGTTCGTCTCAAATTTAAATAAAAGTTTGTCTCACTCACCGGAGGATGCACAACAGCGGAGTAGTTGATGTTCTGCGTTCTGATGTAATTGCGTTGTCTGCAACATACAAATATAAAATCTAAATTATAGCAGTGTGTAAATTTATTACTATTTCCAAAAATTATTAGACGAGTCGAACTTTATATATATTTGGCGCATAACAATAATGAACTATATATAAATATAAAATAATTTAAAAAATTTTTTAAAAGTGTTTAAATAAAAACTTTTTATAGGATTTATATAAATATTTATATAAACCTCTTGAAAATTTATATAATATTTCTAAATTTCTCGTTCACATTATTCAAATAAATGAACTGAATTAATGTGATTTGTAATAATTAATATATAAATAATAATATTCACCTTAGAGTTGCTCTGCCGATGCCTGATGCCTCTCCTAGGCCTCCTCCTCCTCTCAAGTTGTCAGGATTGAACACACGCGCGATACTTTTAACGACACTCCCGAATTTTACGCGTTATCTGTAACAAAAAAATATAAAATCTAAATTATAGCAATGTTTAAATATATTAATATATAGATTAAAAAATTTTTTAAATTAGAAAACTAAATGTATAATAAAAATAAAATTAATATTTATCCTAAATTTTACAATAATATATATATATATATATATATATATATATATATATATTCATGCTAAATATCTTTTTGAAAATACTATGTGTTGTATAATATATGTTGCTATTACATGTAATATAACAAGAATATTATTGCACATCCATTTTGTCCATTATAAATATACACTGAAAAAAATATTTACATGATTAAGCTAGGTTTTTTTCCAACCCAGCATAATCATGCAATATTGATACTTACATGGAAGATTACAGATTATATGTAATTTTATACGAAATATATTCTTAAATATTTTCAAGATTAAAAATATTTCACTGAACATGTAATTACACATAGGAAATGTTAGGAATGTACAGATGCTATAAAATAGTGTTATAAATAAAATAGATAAATACTTATAAAATAAAATTCTAATAAAGTAAAATAATAAATTTAAAATTACATATGATTTTGCATAAAAATAATAATTTTACCTATATTTTACATGTATTTTTACATTAATATGTATTTTCACTTTAAAACAAATGGAAAAAAAATTACAGTGATAAGCAAGTAACTTTTCCAGTTCTGACTTAGTAATTTCTATGTAAAAGTACATGAATTTTTTTCAGTGTATTAATGACTAGAAATAAACATTTTTTCGCATATTGATCGTTTATTACAATAAGTAATACTCTGTGTTTCAATTGAAACTCTCGACATCATCCTCCCATTCCTCATAAGATAATCGGTCTCTCAACTATTAAATCGCTCAACAAAAATGACAAATAGCGCAGCGAAGGAGACGCCTAATTTACATATCTGCTAATCTCTGCCTCTCGTCGTGTCTCCGGCACTAATTCCACACTAATTCGACTCGGCAGGAAAATGCCGGCGATGAGATTGTCCGAATCTCCCTAGCGCCTTATTCATTAAGTGAGTTACATTACGGCACAACATTCGCCTTAACCTTGCCGAGACAAATAATAGGTAAAGAGAAATCCAATTCCATTAATACAATTTTTTGTCTTATTAAATACTTTTACTAACATCTATCTTCGTGTGGTTACAATACGCGAGAAAAAGAAATAATTTTTATTCGTCTGTTATTATATTCGATACGTGTAAATTAAATGATGCTTTTGATTAAAAAGAAGCATATTGACAGGCTTATTCTACTTCTTTATATATTGCAAAGACGTTTTAAATAATAAAATGAGAAATGCTCAGATACAATAATCGTGCGAGGTCTTGATGATAGCATGTGCCGTTGATTGCCGAACGTAATTAGTAATACTAATGTCACAGCGCGTCAGTTAAACTTGAATCAGTTCGTCATCTCATCCGTTCGTCCTTCTAATGAAGGATGTAACAGCACCGCCCCCATAAACATTTCGGAATCGTGCAGGTGTTGTCCCTGATTTATGACTGGCAATTAGAATCCGACTGCCTTATTTGCCATCGCCGTGTCTAAGAAGCGCGCCGGCATGTGAACACGACGCATTCTAATCTATGCCCGAGACCCCAATCCTGAATTCTAACGCCAGATGACATGCACACTCAACGCTACGCATATAATCCTTTATTAACAATCAAGCACAAACGAGAAATTAAATTTTATTTACCGAAATTTACATAAAAACGGATTATTCTCCTTTCAACAGATATTATTCGCTATTATTTCTGACTATCATTCAACAATGTTACAAGTAATGAAATCTATATATTATTGGCAAATATATAGGAATTATAAAATGATTAATTAATGTCAAAATGAGAATTGATTTCTAAATACGGTACCCATTGATCTCTCACTTTTTTAATAATAGATTCTTATCAAAACACATTACCATAGTATTAAAACAACAGAAATAATGCAAGAGTAATATTGCAGGGACTATAATGGAGAAACGGTAACAAATTCTAACAGAGTTTCACAGCAAGCAGACAGTGTCAGCTATGCGGATAAGGAGAGCTGACTTTACACTTCCGAGAATAACTAATAAGAATACGTTATACGCGGTATTAATAATGTGAGCTGTATAATGAGTCCATACCGTAAGCGGATTATAGAATCCAGGGGTGAAGTCGGAAGGAGACAAATGAAGAGAGATGGCTTGCGGAGACTGGAAATGCAATATTCTCCTGCAAACCCCGTCATCGTGGGGCACGCAAAATAAATAGATATACGTCGTTGCGGTTCCTTCGACGATTCAATAACTTTGTCACCGTGTAATATCGCGCTGTGTAACATCATGTTCTCTTGTAATTACAATACCAGAGTTAACTTATAACCGATATTAGCACTACGTCGCATTTATTGCTCTTCGAAAGATAAAGGGTCTTTTTAGAGCACAGAAAAATTCAAATTTAAAATCTAAAATATTACCATTTAAATTCATTCTACGACGATTTTACACACGTTTATCAACTGTGTCCTTTAATTGACTTTCTTTGCAATTTTTCAGCATTAAAATTTCGCGTCAAATGAAATTTCGAATCGGAATATGATATAGTCTCAAACGAAGGTAGACATCTCAAAAGGACATCACGGGAAAAGAAAGAAGCCGATTCTCATCATCGGAAAATAAGAGAACGTCGTGGCGCAGCGAAAAAGGCGCGAGAGGGAGAGATCGCACAATCTGCTTCGGGTGTCCTATCGGAGGTCAGGACTTCCAGGAGCGTATAATTAATTTCCCGTGTCACTCGGGCGGCCCCTACCAACCCCTTCCGATCCGCCCCACGCAAATCCCCCGGACCACGACGACAATATTGCTGGCCATTTCGTTCGACAGTGCCCGAGCGCCTCCCAAGCTTCTCCTCCGCCCGGATCCGCACGGAGAAAGGGGTGACTTTGCGAACAAGCAACCGGAACCAATCCCACCCTCCCCTCTTCCCTCCCTCCCTCCCTGCCGTCGCGGTGCCGCGCTTCTCGAGGCACATACCGACCCGTCAATATCAGCCCCTGTAATTAAACATAACAGATCAACATTCGGCATTAGGTATATATATATACGTAATGGAGCTTTCTCTGGCATCCGCATAGACGCCCTCGCGGAGGAACGCGGAAGGGCGCGTATGTGTGAGTGTCTGTATAGGTATCAGAACGATCTCCTGACCCCCGGTTACTCGACTCGAATCGGTTAATTGGATAAATGTCCGATGAACGCCCGGGTCGTCCTCCGACGTCTCTCATCTCCTCTCCCTTCTCTTCCCTCCTCTTCCCTTTCCTTCTCTCTTCCTCCACTTTTCTTCCTTCCGTTATTCTCCCGTTCTTCGAACTCGCGACGGACTCATTCCCATCTTCCCTATCTCTCGTACAGCCATTTCCGCTCGTATCCTTATTCTCGACTCATCGGGAAAACAATCGTTTATTCCACAAAGATGAATTTATCAGCTTATCGTTATATTTTCTTCGATAGACGAAAGTTCTCGCAAGAGTTGCGAGATGCATGTCGAGTTTATAGAATTTTAATTTAAGGTTCAAGATTATAATTAATGTTTATTTTAACTTTGACATTTTTCAGATATCAAATCTGAGACATGTTGCAGTTTTAATTAATCACAAGTGAAAGACGATATTTATTTCTACTAAATTTTTCTTGTCGCACAAAAAAAAATTAAAATTTGATAGCAACATTATATTAAATAAATTATTACTTGAATAATTTCGGATGTAAACTAGTGGATATAAATTTGGTATGACAATATTTGGAATTAAGAAATTTATTATTTAATAAATGTATGCAAAAATGTATTCACAGTTGAAATTATTTTCACCAACGTTGTAATTAATCAAGATTCACTTCTGTGTTTCGATGATGCCGCGCGCGATCCATCGCATTTGTCTGTTGAGACCTTTCGCGCAACGTGGAACTTTGACACTAAGTCTTGCTAATGACTGGGTATTAATGTAAACAGATGTGCAATTTTTTATCGCGGAGAATCCCAGCGTCATTTATTTTCCTACAACGTCTCGATTCACCCTTAAATCTCCCCCCGCCATCGTTGGTTTCTTACGATGCCTCATAAACAACGCGGTGTTAATGTCTTTCATCAAGAGGGAGACTAGGAAGGACTTACGAGAGGGGAAGACTCAGCTTACTGATTTTAATACAATGATTCCAGTATCAATGCCGTTTTCTTCGGTTTTAAAATTAGACAAATATCATTTACTTGAATAAGAAATTTTGTTAATAATAACTTTAAGTTTATAGCAAAAACACAAAATTATGATTCTTTGTATCTTATTATTTAGTATACAAAATTTTGCGGCTAACAGTATTTTATAAAAAGAGATTTGATACAGAGAATTCATTTTTAAAAAATTAATTCATAAGAAAATAATTTATTAGAAATATCCAGCAAAGATTTTCAGCCATGTTCGAGTTTTTACTATCTGACTGTCTGTTGGCTGACAGGCCAAGACAAATATGACAAAGGGATGAAAAAGCTAAGAGGAGGAAAAAAAGAGGAAAGGGGTGTGAACTGCTCCGCAAGATGTTGCGGTCCATTACAGCCTGCTGGGTTCGAAAAGAAGGAGCACAACCGCCCACGACTTATCGGTAAAACATCATCGGCACTGTACCAGAATACTAAACAATATAGCTCGATAGAATATGAAACTTTTTCTAAAAGAAAGAGTACATTTTTCAATATCTGAAGCTATTATTATTAATTAAAATGTGTGAGTTTTGTAAATCTTTCATAAATATTTATTTATGTTTTTAATTTGATTTAAAATTAATTTATATAAATCGAAATAATAAAAATAAAATTACAAAATTTAATGATATTAATATAACAACCACACTACATCCTCATTGTAGTATCGGTATATCTTTAGACTATTTTTTATTGTAGATACTGATACGAAATAATGAATGCGTCTGTATCGTGAGCGGTTGGTATTAGAGCTGATTCAGACCCAGGAAACATTCACTCCAGGAGTATATCCGAGATCCATTACCAAGATCTTGGAAAGCAACCGCCCGAGACCGACCAAGATTTGTGTTTCTGTTTTTACAACGTATCCTAATATTAGTTCGAATTTCAGAGTTTCAACATTATTGTGTATTAAAATTATAATTTTTCACAAATTAAATTAATAATACAATTCTAATATATGACATTTAGATTTAAAAGCAATACATATATTGTACAATAGGATTTAATATTTTAAATGTGTTGAAAAAAAATGTCTTGCTTCGCTTATTTTTAAAAAGTCCAGACGCTTGATACTAAAAGTAACAACAATCAGGCTGATATTTCGTTATCCATTAATTCAGAATAATTAAATTGCATTGTAAACAAATATGTATTACGTGTAGCTTTGATTGTGGAGACTAAAGAGGCGACATAATCGACGTAAGAGACGAAAAGCAGATGTAAATCATTACACGAATCCGCGCAACGATGTATGCAGCGCACGATCGTTCATAAATATATCAATTGCCGAATAAAAATCCATGCAACAGTACAGCAGAAAACGACATCGGCTTCTGAGAATATCGAGGTGTCCGACCCTCGCCACGAACCATACACGTCGAGTTTATCGGTCGTTCTATGCACGAGATTTGAAAAAAACGATTTATTCGGAAATATGTCGACTTTATATATCGTTATGGAGCATACAAGCGACATCGTGCCTACCACCTTTTCTCCCCTTGCAAACGCACGTACTTCACCGTTCCCCATTCGTCCCGTTCGGTTCGCATATATGCGGAATATTTATTTTTATTACAACCATCTCCCGCGCTCCTGAGTCAACAGATTTCTTGTCACCGCATCGGTGCGAATCGATCCTGACGCGCTCGCGTCTCTGACGCTTCCAGAAATTAATAAATCTGCAAAATTTGAGTTATTTCCTTCATTCTCTTTCGTAATTTCACGACTTTCGTGGAACATATATCCCTACAAATTTTATGAGTAGATTGGATTCAATATTCGCTTTTCATAAAATATATTCTATTCCCTGTGTCTAATACTAAAGAGATTCGTGCATTTTAAATTTAATAAAATATTTATTATATGATTGTTTAAAGAAAATAGTATCCAATTAAAAAATAATGAACAGAAAACACGCATGCATTTTGTTGGAAAATATGTCGACAAAAAATGGAGAAAGTTATATAGAAAGAAAGTAATATAAAAAGAAAGCAATATAAAAAACCTAAGTATATACTTATATAGATATTTTTTACAATTTAAAATATTATCAAATTTGAGAAATTTATGTAAAATTTAAGTAAATTAGAATTCTATACCTTTTCCAATAAAATGAAAAATATGATATTTTAATTTCCTGAAATCATTAATAGTTCACTAATCAATAATAATTAATATAATATTAATTATTGAAATCTCTGAATATAAATTGCACATTTGAACAATTCAAATAATTAATTAAAAAAGCTATAAATTAATTATAGAATAAGAAACGATTACTTCCTAATAATCCCTAAATAATCGAAATATCCAATAAGTTCGGTTATGAATAATTGAAATTGCTGAATAATAATTCGACGAGCAATTTTACATCATTCTCCAAAACGCCGTTTAAGTTCTCGCGTGCTCGCATTATATCGCTTTAATGTTTTCGAGAAGGCGTCCCTTGCGAAGTTGTCGGCCACTAGCAGGTCCAGTAAATCTTGCCTCTCCCCCGCCTCTCCTGCCGAAGAACCGAGCCACCCCCGAAACCACCCCCGGCCGCCTAGCCATTCTTATTCCCTCGTTACTCGCAGCTTCGCTCGAGGCGGCTCTCTCCTTATTATATCGTCTTTCCACACCATAAAATCGGAAAAGAATTTCGCCCCCAAGACAATAGAAACTAATAAATTTGATTACTGATTACATCCGCGAATTTTCGAGAGAAGGTGCGGCCCCTAATGCACGCCAAATCCACTCTACCGTCTTCGCAAACCTCCCCCATGCGCTCGTTCTCTCTCTTTAAACTTTATTTTCTGATTAACAGTTTTTCTGTGCAATGTAATATGTACCTTATAGTAGCTAATATAATATGATACTATACAGTTATTAGTATATTTATTGAGAAAAATGGACTGCTTAATATAAAAATATTAAAGAAAAATAAATTACTTGAGGTAGTTTAATTTTCTGTAATTTATTAAGATTATTTTTTTAATGAGTTCTACTTTATATTGAATTTAAAATATTTTGATAAAGTTTGTTAGTTGTTAGAAATATTACAATAAAAATATATTATCTAATAAAAAATATATTGTTACATTTATCGCAATATTTATTTACAATTATGTCTAGCAAACCATATTAAAGTATTTTAAATTCCTAAAATAAAGCCTGTACTAAGAAAATAATTTTAATAAATTACATATAAAACTAAATTTATAAATTCAAAAACGTTATATATAATAAAATAATATATCATCATAGAATAGTAAGATTGTCTCTATATATATATAAGAATTGTTATGTTAAATATTTCGTATTATCGTCCCGACGGTAACGTTTTACGCTATCGTATATATTTATTCGGGGAAAGTAAGTATTTTTCACGAATACTGTAAAACGGAAAGCGGCAATAACGCTATCGAAGTTAGATAACGGTCGAAGAGAAATCGTAACGGGAGGACTGGGATGGGTTTTTGGGGTGTGCACAGTTTAAACTTTCCGCGACCCTAAATCTCCGGGACCCGGCTTATGCTTCGTAATATCATAATATCGTAATATCGCGAGAGCGGTTTGGTATAATTAAAGTGGAAGTGTCTTTAAAATAGCCGCAGGTGATTGCGGTAAGAAACCCCCCCACAATCTTTCCGCCGTTTTGCGCTCCTTCTACTTTGCAAGCGCCAACAACTAATGTAGAAACCGCCTATAATGTGAAGCTTTCCTTACAAGAACATAATAAAAATTCAGACTAAATTTGTGTCAGAGTCAAAATCTTGAACAGTATTTCAATCAAAATGTTTTAAGTAAAATAAACTTGAATTTTTAAAATTACTGTTAAACAGTATTTCAATCAAAATGTTTTAAGTAGAATAAACCAATATAACGCCGACATCGTCTTGACGCAAGCGTTTCGTTAAGAGCACATTAAAAAGAAAATTTTGTATATCTTTTTCTTGACAAACATATTGATTGTACAATAATTTATATATATATATATATATAAATTATTGTACAATCAATATGTTTGTCAAGAAAAAGATATACAAAATTTTCTTTTTAATGTGTTCTTAACGAAACGCTTGCGTCAAGACGATGTCGGCGTTATATTGGTTTATTCTACTTAAAACATTTTGATTGAAATACTGTTTAATATATATATATATATAAATTATTGTACAATCAATATGTTTGTCAAGAAAAAGATATACAAAATTTTCTTTTTAATGTGTTCTTAACGAAACGCTTGCGTCAAGACGATGTCGGCGTTATATTGGTTTATTCTACTTAAAACAGAAATTTTAATATATATATATATATATATATATATATATATATTAAAATTTCTAATTGCAAAAATACCTATTGATAAATAATATATCCAAATATATTATATTATATATCTTACCTTTTATTATATTATTTTCACACAAATGACCATAAATATATATAATACTTCTGCCAATAACATATACGGTACATTAACAAAATTTCCATTAATTTTATATTCTCTTAGAGTAATGAATATTAGTTCTTTAGAAATAATCTTATAACATGAATTATGTAAAAATATGTATTTATATATATTTATATAATAACAAATTTTTCATATAAAATTTACTTTAAAAATTGATAAAAAATGAATAAAATTGCATTCAATTTATATACATTTCATTCCAATGAAATACATATCATAAAATTAAGTTGTTTCTGACTCTGTGTAATATACTGTATTGCTTATAATAGTATTATATGTAAACGATATCTCATGAGCGGAAAATATGCTGCTTGTCAAATACAGATGTTTATATAATCTGACATGTATCATACTCTTATATTCTCCGTTTTTTCTGACTTTACTGGTAGGCAATGCCTACAAACAAGATTTAAAAGCCGGTTTTTACATCTCTTTTATCCGCTCATGGCAATGAAATTAATCAATATCTCAATGCACCCATAAAAAATATTATTATACTTTTAATAATGTCAGATTTAACTTTAAATAAAGAATTTTTAGTTAGAGATTCGTTAATTCATCAGAATAATTTTCCTTTTTATATCATGTTACAATTTATATATTTATATTTATATTCTATTTAAAAAAACAACTTTGAATTTATTTTTCGAATTCAATCATAGCATTGTAATAATTGTATTATGCACTTTTTGCTAAATAAAGCAAAAAAGGCAAATATTTTATAGAATATCTTTTAGATGCAAAAATTCAGATATTTTTTCAGAGTTTTAAATATATTATAATTGCGAAAATTATTTATTGTTCTAATTAATCAGTAAATTCTTTTTTCAAATGTATATATGGAGAAAAATATCAATTGTAAAATAAAATAGATTGAAATCTTGATCATCTACTCATGATAATATAGAAAATTCATGTTATATATGTCTAACTAATAGAAATCTAGTTTATCAGTTATCATATGTTTATCGTGCAAGGATTAATTGTGAATATATCGTGACATATATTATCGACAATAAATTGGAGTATCTACGAACTTCAACATTCCCAAGCACCGCAAAATCAGAAACGACACGATATTCATTTATCTGTATATTCACTTATTCAAATACTGGAAAAAGTATAAGTGACAATTTATATACATAAATTTACACACCTGGTGATGATCACTTCAATATCAACTCAACTTCTCTGCATTTCTGAGGGAAGATATGATGTTGGACATACCATGAGAATCCCCAATACACAAGAGCGAAGCGTCGACACTGAAATCACAATATTTCACGCATGTAATATACAATTGCACACGATACATATTCATTATATTATCAACAATATATTGCATTTATGAGACTCAACATTTACAAACGCTGCAAAAAAGCATGGCAACATTCATCATATTTATCTATCTAATATATTAGCTATTCAAATATTAAAAAAAGTATAAAATCGAGTACTAATTTCAAAATGACAAAATGTATATAAATATAATCACTAGCGGATCCTGACATCGATTATATGGGAAAGGGGGTTTTGCAAAATTATTTAATTAATATTTTTTGTTTCATGCTTACAGCTTTTACTCAAGACTCAACAATGAATTCTTTTTAATTTGCAATCCCTTCCCTCTCCAGAATGCGCTAGTAAATATAATATATAAATATAATACTGACATCGATTATATGAGAAGGGGGGTTTTGCAAAATTATTTAATTAATATTTTTTGTTTCGTGCTTACAACTTTTACTCAAGACTCAACAATGAATTCTTTTTAATTTGCAATCCCTTCCTTCTCCAGAATGCGCTAGTGAATATAATATATATGCATAAAAATATACACATACCCTGCGATAATCACGCAGCAGCTCAGCTTCTCTGCATCTTGGCGGGAAGACGACGATTGGACGTATCATGGCGATCTCACACACGAAAGCAAAGTGTGCGCGCATCGACACTGAAATCACAATATTCACACGTAATATACGACTGCACGCGATATATTCAAATGTCTTCGACTACAACGAATGTCCAGCAAGACAAACTCGCAAAAATTTGTACAATATTCACAGTACTAATCAAGAAAAATGTACGCAACATTCGAGCACAACTGAGAGACCGCCGAGCGCGTTTCACGAATGATGATCACGTGACGTCTGACGTCACTCGAGAGCCTCGCAATACGCGCCGCAAGATGGCATGAAATATCGAAACGATCAAAACTACAACAACTTTGCAATAATCCGCGATTTCTCGTGAAATTAGGAATGCTTCGAATTGTTTGATTGATTAATCGTGATTAGGAAATCCTTGTTCTTTTTATCAATACTCACTTTTGTATGATAACAATCTCAGAAAAATATATGGAGCAATTCAAATACGGCTGAAAACTGTCCTGACGCGTTTCGCGAAGACCGAGGGTCGAGTGACACTCGAGAGTTCGAGTCTCGCAGTATCGAGATATCGATGTATCGAAGTATCGCAATATCGAAAGATGGTTCCTTCAGTATCGAAATAATAAATATATGCATTATAACTTTGCAATAATCTGCAACTCCTCTTGACATTATTATAAATATTTCGAATTGTTCAATTAATTAAAACAAAGAAATTTTCTTCTTTTTATCTTAATCGATCGATTAAATTATTCAAAACTTATTTGTCATATAAATTGCGCTTTGTGTATCAAATACTCTTTGTACTTTTTAATTATACTTCCTGCACTTAATATAAAATGAATGTATATTTAGTGACTAAATATACATAAATATATATACATATTTTATATATATATATATATATATATATATATATATATATATAAAACATATATAAATATAAATAAATATATATTAATATATATTGATGAATGTCTGACATTTTACAAACATAATACATTTTATCATATACTAAAATCGTTCATAAACAGAAAATATTGATACTTGTCGGCCCTGCTGTAAAATTTGAAGAAATAAAAAAAGTAATTCTTTATTTTAGTTATTTATAAAAAAGTTTTGGAAGTCTTTCTAGCATTACATTCATATAATTATTTCTTAGAAGAAACTTATCTTTATCATAATTTTAAACTTTAAAATTACCACAATAATTAATACTGACGCAGACCACCACGTCTTATTGCCGGTTGCATCATTCTATTTGGTGGAGTTATTGATATGTCCAAGTAATCTCCTATTGTAAATCTGAAATTGTAAAAAATACACATATATGTAATCATATTATAAAAAAATTTTATATGAAAAAGAATGTTTCTTACTACTTAAGGCTACTTACCTTGCTTGTGCAAGCGTCTTGTTATCATCTGCACCTTTCTGTCCAGAACATGTAACTCCAATCTCACGCATACGGTAACCAGAATTACGAAGTTCAGGAGTCACCAATGAAAAATCAAAGTATGTTCCTTTACTGCGAGCATCTGGATTTACTTCCTTAACTAAACCCGTAATTTCTCGCAAAGTTGCATCCATCCTTCAAACAGAAATTATAATATTAGAGATAATATTTCTCTAAATAATAAAAATTAACATAAAATTAATTACAACATGATTGAATGTTAGTTCCTCTAATATCATATAGATAAATATACCATGTATATATCTGCAGCTCATTTGAAGGAACATTTCCTCTGCTATATTCCATTATATTATGATGACGTCCATTATTACAAAATACTCGTAATAAAAGTGGACATGTCTTAAAAATAAACAGATATCATGTTTATGCATAGTTGTCTAGTAACATATATTTAATATAAAAAGCGATAATAGATATTTCTAGATATAATACTTATTATTGTTTGTTATTATTGTATTTATCATTCATATATATGTATATATACTTTTTCTCTGTCGACCGGCTTTTCAGGAAGTTGTTTTTCGTCGACCACCATGGATTCCAAAGCCGAGGTCATTTTATAAATTATGTAATCGAAAACACAACTGTAGCAATTATTAAATCTTTTTCGACAAAAAGATGTCAAAAATGCGTGATAACTCGTTGAAAATTCAAGAAAAATACCAGCACTGGAGCAAAGTTATATCAACACACAGAGGTTATATCAACACCGTTTATAAGGGTGATATTCATATCTTACGACAAACTTGTCATACGCATTCTGATTGGTGGACATTTTCAGGATCTAGAAATTCCCTATCCAGTAACCAATTGGAATGCCCGATAAACTCGTAGTATAGCATACAGTAAAACAACCCTAAGCACAGTCCTTTCCCCCCTTCAATTGATAGATATTGAAAATATTGATAGTTATATATATGAATGATTGGAGATTTTCCACAAAATAATCACTCAATAGACATACATATACATATAATGCAAATAAAATTAAAATTATAAAAATATTTTTTATATTAGGAATTATTTATCAAATGAAATAAATAGATTAAAAATATTCAATTTTGAAAATTAAAAACACAAAAGTTATTTAAATTATACAAGTAGTAAATCAATTTTTATATAATTTCAAAGCAAGCGAAATTATTTAAAAATTATAGAATTACGAAATATATTTTATATGCATTAATTGAAATGATATATATAATGTGCGCATAACTTAAATTCCAAATTCTAGTTGTATGACAGCTGCTTGTAAACAGCTGATCGCTCGATACCATGTTTTTTTCCATTTCTCATTTTTTATAATCCAATAAATATACTTACATATATGTATATTCCATAATTCTTATGGAGAAAAAAAAGTGTAGTCCCGGGATCCCGATAGGGGCATCGTGGGAAGCGGGAACGTGTGCGTACATACATGAAGCTCAAGTAATGCGTGCGGTTTATCGCGCGTCGACAATTATTCATCGTGTTTTCTTTTCGCGAGAGATTGATTCGCGTCTCGCCGACAATACATATCCCCTCAAATCAAAGCTGAATTTATAATTCGAGTTCAGTCGGCAGAAATCAACAGCATGGGTCGTCGATGTACGTCTCGTCATCGGAACGCGATACGCAGCGATCTCGCGTGAGCTATCTCTTCTGGATTACTCGCACCCGGATGACCTGCGCGAACCGCAATCTTCCCCTCGTACATTCATATGGCTGCGATCGCGAAAAATCATATTCTGGTGAGCAAAAAAAACGATGGGTTCGGTGATCGTTTCTGCGATTAACCTGCCTCACGCACCGCCTATCACGCTTATAAACAATGGAGCCTTGGAGCCTCATCCCGATGCTCTGATCGCGGGATAATGACATTTAAAGTAAATCCCGCGATGACAATTTATTTGTCGAGAGAAATCTCTTGCTCCAATTAATATACACGAACATTTCTATGCATAAATTTATGTGAGCGTATTATTAACACTATTCTTAGACATGATTCAAGCTGTGACATACGTTGTCTATATTTGAAATTTATATCCTTGTACATATGTGCTATTGCATCATTGATGAGGCTGATGAAATTTATAATTTATTGCTATTTAATCTGTTTCATTTGAAATGAAGAAGCTATATCAGTTTAAATTCAGCCTTTTTACTGTCACAATATTTATATTTTCAAATTTGTTAGAAATTTTATTTTATTTTTTTCTTTGTTAATATGTTCTATTGTTGTGTTAATTATCAATATTTTATTGTTAATATATTTGTATAATGTTGGCAGGGCATGAGCATTTTGTGGAATACATAAATGACTAAAGTAATGTGAGAAAAATGGTAAGCAATTTACCACAAGAGTTCAGAAAATATCAGCGAAATAGGAATCAGCTACGTCATATATTTGAGGAAACACAGCGTACATTGGAACTTATAAAGCTTGAAAATTTTTTTCCTGGAGGTAATTATCATGCATTTATTTAAAATTTAAATCAATAAATTGATAATTAATAGTTAATCTTAATAATAATGCTTTTTACAGAAAATATTATTGAGGAATTATTGCCTCCTTTGAGCTTGGATAGAGTGACACACATTCTTGAAAATTCTCCAGCGATAGTCATTTTTGGCCAAGATAATAAAGCCAAAGCTTCACTAATTAATAAATTACTTTCAGCTGATATTTTACCATTGTCTAATGATTCTTGGAGATGGATTAAGATCACTTATGGTCATGCAAATCATGTTAGTCTCACTTTAGGTTTGGAATATGAAGTAGTTGAGACATTACAGGCCAATGAACAATCATGGACCACACTTCCCATCGAAGATCTAGCAAAATCAATAGACGAAGATGTCAATTGTCCAACAGTGCTGGAAGTTAAATTAAATCAAGCAATATTGAAAGAAGGTGTTCAGATATTCGTCGTTCCAAATAATGGTGTGGTAAAAATTCTCGCTAAAGGTTTACTCAAGATTTTACCTATTTTTCTTTATGCTCTTGGAGAGCAACCATTGACTGAAGAAAATTTGGAAGAATTGAAAGATTTGAAAGAGACTTATCCATATAACCCAATTTTATTCGTATCTTCATTAGCAAATATTTCATTGGATGGTACAGACGCGGAATTGACCGAGTCTGAGCAACATAGTTTACAAAGTCGGACAGAAGTGCCAAGTGTTTCTACAGAATCCAAAAATGATAGTATTAATATTGACAAAATGAATTCACTTGGTTTAAGATGGCTAGATCAATTAAGCAATCTAGGATTTCTAGGCATGGAAGAGTCTGTGGAAGTTCACCAGTTAACGTGGCTTGTTGGCGAGCAATACGTTAATAACTCGAGCGATCTAGTGGATTCATGCAAAAAGACAGACCGTGTTTTACATTTTACATGTGGCTGCTTGCAAAGCTATCTGATTAATGCCAGCACTTATTTGAATGAAATACATACAACTAGTCTACGTAAATTTATTTTAAGTGCATTTGACATGGCACGAAAAATACAAATCACTCCTAGAAGAATACAATACGCCCAACAAAAGGAAAATGAACTTTATGCTAATCTAATGAAGGTTGTTAATGAGCAGCAAATGGAATTGACCGAGTTAATACAATGTATTATTCAAGAGATGAAAGACGATATATCAGGATCTACCAGTGATGTTTTCCAATATCAAACTGTTCTTTTCGATAATAATGAACAAACAACAGAATGGACAGTTACTGTTCGCGTCGCGACTTCGGAAGTTCAGCGATTTGTACTAAGTCGTTTAGGCGAGAAAGTCGCAAAGGAGCTCGTAAACTCAGTTAATTGTCTTCGTGAGACTTTCATCGGAACTCTTCAACGTTGCTTGATGAGTCTCGAAAAAACTTATGAACACGACAGTGGTCTGTTAGCTAGTGATGCCTTAAAACAAATACTTTCTGCAGCATACAATGTAGAATTACACAATTCGTCACCATCCTTAGTGCATTCATTCTTAGAGAGATTGAGGCAACTCTTCAAGTCCTTACCGCTACCATGGACACCCACTCCGACTCTGAACGCGGCTTGGAGAAGGAAGGTTACTATTGATATTTTAAATTCCTTATCAGCAGCACGATTAGCGAGAGCAATTTCTACACAGTTTAGAGACAAATTAAAATCATCGCATGATGCTTTTCAAACTGCTCTAAGATCTCTGGAGAATTATTACTCAGGGAAACTAGAAAGAACCGAGGAGCAGAGGATAGCTATACGAAAATACCACGCGCCCAGACTAGCCAAACTTGCATTAGAATCCACATCAATGATGGACGCAATTCGTTTTGGGATTCCTCAGTATAACAAAGAAATTGGTAGAGGACAGTATGGTGTAGTATTTGCTTGCGAAGGTTGGGGAGGAGCACCAGGACCTTGTGCAGTAAAATCTGTTGTTCCACCAGACGAGAGACATTGGAACGATCTTGCGATGGAAGTTTATTATACCAGATCGATACCAGATCACAAAAGGATAGTGAAGCTTCGTGGATCGGTTATAGATCAATCATACGGCGGAGGATTCGGATTAGGTGCTGCGGTTCTCTTAGTCACTGATCGATTGAGTCGTGATTTGTATTGCGGTATACACGCTGGTCTTTCATGGTTGGAACGTATACAAATAGCAATAGACGTGTTAGAGGGAATACGCTATCTTCATTCGCAAGGTCTAGTTCATCGAGACATCAAACTGAAGAATGTCTTACTTGATATAGAAAATAGAGCTAAATTAACGGATCTCGGATTTTGTATTACCGAAGCTATGATGTCAGGGAGTATCGTGGGAACACCTATTCACATGGCACCAGAACTTTTGTCTGGTCATTACGACAGTAGCGTTGATGTCTACGCTTTTGGCATCTTATTTTGGTACATATGTGCTGGGAAAGTTCGATTGCCATATGCATTTGAGCAATTTCATAACAAAGAACAATTATGGACGAGTGTGCGGAAAGGTAATTGTTTTATTATATATACAGATTGATTTATTCTTGTTTATTCCATTTAAAGTTTTATAAAGATTCTAATGGAAAAAACTGCTATATATTACATTTTAAAAAACACATTCAAAAGATTTAAATTCTTTAACTAAAGACTGAGTTTGTATTGTATTCAATATAAGTAAAAACATACATTAAAATGAATTCCTACATCTTAAATTTAATTAAATACTGGGACAAATTTATCTCGTTTATTTTGGCTAATTTGACTACAGATTGACAGAATTTGAGTTTAATTTTATTTCTTTTGGTCTCAATTGATATAGTGTTATTGTATATTCTTGTTGTACAAAATGTTAAATGCATTGTCTACATATTTTAGGCCTTAGACCTGAAAGATTGTCACATTTTGATGAGGAATGTTGGACACTAATGGAACAATGCTGGTGTGGAGAACCATCCAAACGACCATTGCTTGGTGCTATTCAACCAGTGTTAGAATGTATCCAGCAAAAAGCAGAAAGAGGCAAGTCCTTACAACAACTCGGCACATTGAAATTACACGAGAGTTCATCATCTGAACGAACAAATCCTGTGCTAGCATTAGCAGAGCCTAATAACCAAAGAGGTGCTGTATTTACTCAGCTTCTTCCTAGACGCAAGACTTTTAGAACTGTGAATCCTATCATATTACCTTTTCACAAAACAAAATTTTTTCAAACGAGTATCTATTCTCATATGTTTGTTCAAATGCGAGAATTTTAGGCAAGAATCGAACATATTCACACTATATCATATTTTCTGTTAAATATAGCCTATTGATATTTATTACTTGGAATGCACTTGATATGCTTTTTACATTTTCGTTTTCATTGATTCAACAATAGTATTTTAAGTACAGTATTAAAGTGGCGAACTTTGTCTGACAATTAGTTTTGCTATGGTTTTTGTACAGGATACAATATATTTATTCTCTTTCTTTTTTTATAAAGTCTCATTGATATATCCAAAATATAACACAATTTAAAATAATCAAGCTGTGCTTGCAAAGTCATTCCAGATAGTATATCAAAAATAAATATTTTATGGATTATATTTTAATAGTTTTACATTTTATAGTAATAGAGAAAATCTTTGTTCTTTATGCTACATATCTGTATATATAAACGTCTGATATAAATATTTTTATTGATAGTTAACAAAATGCATGTTAAATTTTTTCTTTTTTATATTAAAATATTTATTGTTGTAAAGCATAGTATTTAATTGTTAAATTACGTTTTAAAACTCTTGATTGTGAAGTGACTGCATGATTTTATTAAACTGGGAAATATATATGGTTAACTATAAATGTATATTATTGAAAAATGAATAAAGTTTCTCACTTTTGTACTTGCTATTGACACATTCATTCTGTCTCTTATAACACCTGTCATATTTATATTATTTATATATATATATATATATATATATATATAATTTTATCTATAAATGCTTCTGTGCACTTAATTATAAAATTTATTTTATATTGCTTTCAGATACATTCTTCACAACAAAATCTACAATTTGAAAAGATTTGGGCAGATATTACCATTATCTATGTTCAATGGAATATAAAAATGAATTGTATATTTTTTTATTACTAGATAGTGATACAAAAATAATACAAAGATTATGTATGGAATAGTTTAATCAAAACTCACAACATAAGTGTAAATAATCTGTATATATTTTTTCTAAAAAAGGGAGGATCTCTAATCTCTTATGATATGAGCTTTTATTTTATTTAACTTTTTTAGTAGAATAGTTACAATGTACTTATAGTAGTAAATATCTATAGTAGTCATAATCTGTCTTATAAAATATGTTATCAATATTACTTATTATTAGATATTTAGATAATTATTATTTATATATTGTTATAACGATCCATAATTCTTTCTAACTCTATTTTATCACATTTCAAAGAAAAATTTTTTGAAGATTTATTAATAAATTAAATGGTGATAAACGACCTAGGCTGTGAAATTATCCAATCTTCTTTTGTTAAGTTCCTCTCATTTATTTCACTGGTTCTTAAAAGATATATATATATATATATATATATATATAAGTTACACGAAATATAATAGAATCTATTTAGAATATTTTTTTTTTTAAAGAAAATTATATTCTATTTGTGAGATATAAAATATCGATAATATAAAAAAAAATTATATTCAAATTAATAAAAGATATTCTAATAAATAAATAGTTAGAAGATCCAGATACAATATATAAAATTTCTTACATGATATAATGACTATATTTTTAATAAAGTAGTTTTGATCGATTAGATCAAGTTACATTATATATAAAAATTTCGAGTTAATTACTATTAATATGATATTATATCGATATTTATGAATATTATTTAAAAAATGTTACTTAAAAATTTTATTTTTTATTAAAGTATTATTATCTTTTGTCAGAAATAAATTACATTTTTACTTTCAAAATAGTAAATATTTTTATTTTACATAACAAATCACAAAAAGAACATTAAAAAAGATTTTTATAAATACAACTTTACTTGTAAGTTTATAAATAATATATCCTTCAGCAAAATAGTTAACATTATTGTAACAAATATATATTTGCTTACAGTAATAAATCAAGATTACATTTTGCCTTTTCTAAATCATGTAGAAATTTATAAAATTGTCCAATTGTCATCTCAGTAAATACATTCTTGATTTTACCATCATTGTCAAGACGTAATTTAAGTTGTAGAAATGACTTTGCAACATTGTCGGAATCACTACTTGCTGCGGTAACTATAAAGAAACAATAACATTATTATTATTCATCAATCTTTAATATCACTAGAGTATTGTTTAATATCACTACTATGATTGTCAAAATCACTGTTCAAAAATAAGAAAATGAAAAAAGAACATTTATAATTAATATGTAGCAAACTATATTATTATTCATTATTAGTTTGTTAACTTCTGTATAATTTCTGTAAAATATTGATAACATTAATCAAATGTAATAAGTTTTACAATGCATTGTGTCAGTGTTAATACTCATTGTATATATATATAATTTTTGTAATATAATAAATAAGAAAGGAAATAGTAATTCAATAAAACGTTTAATAGAGATTGAGTATTTTTTTTAGTGCAGTATATTTAATTTAAAATTTAATGTGAAAATAATACGAGTTCTTAAGAAAAAATGATAAATATTGATATTTTTTATCTTAACCTTTATAACAAAAAATCTCACCTCCGAATCTCCAAGATACATCAAGTATTTTGCTGATATTTCTTTCCATTTCTCTCCTTTTTTTTTGTTTTTAATCCAGAGCACAAATTTTATAATAAATAATTTATAATAAATAATTTATATAGTGAATTTTCAACTTATAAATTTGTTTTGATAGGTTAGGTTCAAAACAACCATGTAAACATTTTTTTGTTAAATCCCTTGCAGCTGTGCCATTGCATTCACTTTTGAGAATTGGAATTATTTAATCGTGTATATAATTCACTGGCAGTAGAATTATTTTTGTAAAAACAGTTCCAACTTCAATTCGATAAATAAAATAATTTGATCACAAATAAACGATTCATAAACGGCGCCACATTACGTCAAAAGAAACTTCAGAATGTATTCAGAAATCTGTCCGTCAAAGTGCAAAATCTGATCGACCAATCGGAGCCCGAGGATCTCTTCATCCTTGATTGGTCAATCGAGCGCTAGACTTTAGATGAACATATTTTCGAACACAACCTAGAATGGTGCTGCCCTCTGGTGCTTTCTCATTATTCACTTTCACCTTTTAATTAGTCGCGCTCGTTCGGGTTTATTACTTGTCCGTGAAAGTATATTAATTAATATCTTTGCGTCGTTAATTATCACATCAATCCGATCGTGTGGCACGTACTGACATCGTGATCGCGATGGCAAGCACGAGATCGTCCTCGTGAATCTCGAATCTCGAAATTCGTTCTCTCGATAGCTCCGACTCGAGCCGCCGAAAGTTTGCGCGCGCGAATTTCGGACTTGCTCGATCTTAAAGGGCTGCGATTCCTGAGTGCGTCGCGAGGAAGTCGTCGTCGTCGTTCGATAATAAAACACGGAGCATCGGTCTCATTCGCGCACAATTAACCTTTCGTGAAACTCGAATTTTTTACCGAAACGCGAAAATGTGAATAATTAATGACCCGGATGTTGCAAACGCGCACGCGCGCAAAAAATGTAACGCGAGTACAAGTGTTTCGAAACTTCTACAAGGACGAGGCCCAGGGTGGCATCGGGCAACTGCAGAACAACTATGTGGTAAATAATATATATATATATATATATATATATATATATATATATTATATTAATTAATTAATTAAATTTTGAATTAAACCTATTCATATTTGATACATGATACATTTTGTGCATTATTTTACGTAGAGTATTATATATATATATATATATATATATAATATTTTCTTATTTTATTTTTACAGGGGAACAAGGAGAAAAGATGAGAGGAAGGAAGGAGGCCTGAGGTGGCATCAGGTAACGGCGGAGCAACTATATGGTAAATAATTAATTTATTATTTATTTTCTTATTACACTGAAAAAATATTCATTTTAATACTGCCAAATAAATTATTTATTTGAAACTAATAATATTGATTTGATGTAAAAAATATATATTCATTTGATATAAGAAAATCTTTTTAAAAACATCAATATTTATTTGTTTCAAATAAATGATTTATTTATAGGTAGTATTAAAATAAATATCTACTATTATATACATATATATATATATATATATATATGTATATATATTATGTATACTGTTATTAATCTTTATTATATATACTGTTATTTATTTATTAATTCTTTACTTAAGCAAAATTAAATATTCTACATATAACAAGTATATAATTTCTATGTATTTATATTTTACAGTTTACAACTCCGCTGCTACGCATCGTATCGGTGAGTCTCATTAATGTTTATTTAAATTTTGGGTAATAATTTTGTAAAAGTCATGTATGAGAGATGTGTATTGCAAATAATATAAGATTGCGAATCTTGAAAAAAAATGAAAAAAATAGTAATATTTATATCGGCAATTTATCATGTTCATTTTCTGTTTAACATACTCTTGCACAGTTATTATATTAGGCTTATTTGAATACGCGCTTGACAATAAATAATTGTCGAAGCTTCTGCGTAATATTCACGATTTCTTTGTTGTTGAAAATTCAGTGAAATATAAAACATAATGAAATGTGCTCAATTTCTGACAATAATTTATACCGACAATACATAACATTCATTTATGTTTAACACACATCCTTGGACAACTATATTATTTTAATACGCGCTCGACAAGAAATAATCAGCAAAGCTGCTGCGCGATCTCCAATTTCTTTGTCGTTGAATATTCAGTGAACTATAAAACATAATAGTATTTATACTGGCAACATCATGACATTTATTTAATATTTAACATATATCCTTGCACAATTATATTAAGCCTATTTTAATTCGCGCTCAACAATAAAAATAATCAGTAAAGCTTTTATGTGATCTCTGCGATTTCTTCGTAGTTAAATATTCAATGAAATATACAACATGGTGAAATGCAATGCTCATCAATTCTTGAATATCGATGACTCCCAAGTGCGTTGCGGGGAAGTCGTCCTCGTCGTTCGATAAGGCCCTCCGATAAATGGGCCTTGAAAAAGCGGCGACGCAAAAATAGAGCATCGGTTTCATTCGCGCGCGAATAAGCTCTCGCGATTCTCGCGTTTTAACGAAACACATCGAAAATGTGATAGTTAAAACCCGGCGTCGCCGCGCGTCGCGAACGAAAAAAATAACGCGAGTGGAAGTTTCTTTCTTCTATGAGGACAGTTCCCGACGTAGATGTTTTCTATCTACAGAAAATATGAAGCTGGAATGTGAGTTGAATTATTTTTTATTTCATTGTTTATTGATAATAATTTCTTTCATTATTTATTGATAAGCGATAGGAAAAATGTATACGCCTTAATATTGACTAGATAACAAAATAAACACCATATATCACGTTTACAATATTGTGTATCTTTGTGCGTAAAATGCAAATATATAAATTAAAATCTAACCCCCTACGAGGGAAACCACTGCAACTTTTTTCCTAC